ATAGGTACCTTCCTATCAGTATAATTATTGTTTGAATATGATATAGGTATAATTATGATTTTTTTGCGATTTTTACTAGTTGTAGGTGCATTTACTAACTCAATTTCGTAAATCCTAGGATGTACTGCACAACGTGTTCAGCTCGAATAAAACTATGATTTTCAGCTTTTACCGAGTACGAACAGTAAATCATAGCATTGACTAGGTAGTAAGACCCAGCATTACCTACGGGCATTATGATGGGGAATTTAAGGTGACTAATCGAACGTGTCCCGACTGACTGATCGACGCTTAAAGCCTAAACCGTGTGTCGTATAGCTATACAGAGACTTGAACATTCGAATTTTAAAGAAACGTCCCTCTCACACGTGGATTTTGAGATTTACGACGGAAATGGACAATTTTTTTCGTACGATTGCCGTCGTGGTTACACATTATAACAGTAATGGTATAAATCAGTATTTGTTTGTATTATGCGCATACCTATACCTACATGGTTATGGTTATCATGGTTATTTCAACTATTGTTTTTTAGTTATTCTGACTACATTGATTCCACTAATTAATTTTAGTACTCCCAACCATACGCTTATTGTGTCACTATATTAACCTGAGATTATGGTTGGCCTAACCATTTAATAAACATTTTAAACAGTTGTATCAACCACTATTGTTTTTCCGTGATGCAGGTACCTACTAGTATTAAATAAATTTCCCATGCCTATACCTATACCTACATGGTTATACTCAGGCAGATGAGGTAAAGCATGCGTGAAACCATCTTGTCTATGGTCTCGAATACAGAAATACTTGGAATATTTAGTATATGATAGTTTATTTATAAAACGATTCTTACATATCATGTCTGTTGCCTATAGACTAAAAAACAACTCGGACATTATTCTTACAGAGATATCAAGAAAATGTAGAGAGTAGTTTGAGTTGAGTTCGAAAATAGGTTATACTAAGAGTCAGCTGTGGATTGGCTAAACATTTCTGACTGGGAAATTACCGTGTGACGGGCCCACCTAATATATTGTTATTGTATAATTGATAATAATTGTCCATAAAAAATCTTTATTTTTTTAGAAATTCTCTTGTTTATAGTTTTATATAATAAAAGTTTAACATGTGAGTAGGTACGTAACTTATTTTCATGACCACCCAAATGTCCAACTAGATTCACTTTCCTCCCAGAAAAGATGGTGAAATAGTAAACCAAAGCATTTTTAATGCCTCGAAAAGTGTGATTAGTGGTTTTTTGTACTTTGGCGGAATGAAACTTAAATTATGCAGTTTTACCAACAATTTAATATATTATACATATTGTAAAGAAAACTGATAGCTGTTTAAAAATATAAACATGTTTTCCATTCAGTTTCAACAGTCATTTATAAAAAAATATTTTCTTTAAATAAATATAACGTATAGGTAGTATTGTAAAATACACAGTTTTGGTGCTCAATCAACTTTTAACATTAAATTTAAAGTATACCATTTTTGTAAATTACTGTTCAAACTGAATGCAAAATATGTTTGTATTTTTCAATGGCTATCGATTCCCTTAAAATACGTATATATTGAATAATTGGTTGAACAGCTTATATTTTAGTATCATTCCTAAATTCAAAACCCATTAGAACAATTAAAATTTCAACATAATTTATCAAATAATAAAAAAAGTAATCAAAATAAAAAATATAATACGTCATTATTATATGTAGGACAGCATAATAACTGTATAAAAAAAAATATATTTTTTACCGTTTTAAGTGAGAAAACTAAATATTTAATATAAAAATGTATAAAAGTTTGAAAATATTAATTAAATAATATATATTATATATATATATATATATATATATATATATATTTTATAAGAAACAGAAGATGAATAATATATCAGAATAAAATATAAGACGTGTATTATGTTATTATTATCTTAACGAGATTTTCGATGTGTTATTTCGTTATGAACGATATTAATTATTTTTTAAATATTCACATTGACTTGTTGATTCTTCAGGCGTAATATATGAAGATGACATTCAGCGAACGTTGCCGTACAAAACTCCTCTGTGCAAGGTGACCATTACTGGAAAGACTCTGCTGAAATCACTGGAGCACAGTGCGTCCATGTATGATTACAGAAACTGTTCAAATCCGGAAAATAAAATATACGGAGGTTTCATGCACATGTCAGGTAAGCGCTGGGCGAGTTAACTAATTTTTCAACTCATCAAGTAGGCACTATAGGTACCAGTTGACGAAATATAGAAAAATATAAGTTCAGTTTAAAGTGCCTATTTGTAACTGTTGTCTTCCTATTCTTTTTTTTAACCGTATTAGCTTTTACAAGTTAACTATAACAATATTAATAAAAATAAACTATATCAACTCTGTTAAACAAAATCGGGTAGTTATATTTTCATCATCTGCGCAAATTACTAATGAGAAAATTTGAAACTGAAAATTGCACTTAAGAGCAATGTTGATAAAAATAAAAAGAAACAAATCCGTCGATAAATTCCCAACGGATAAGTTCCAAATTTTTATTCATTTTCATTATTCAGTATAAAGTGGGCGGTACAAATTTCCAACGAAACTTAATATTGCGACGTAACAATTTTAGCGAAATATACAAATTACATAATTGATGTATAGTTCTACTTTATTGTACAAGTGAACCAGTGAGATAAAAAAAAATATTTGAAAAGTATTTAAAATGCAAAGCATTCCAAGACATCTTACTTACCTACCTATATTGATAACTGTACCTATTCGTTCTCCAAAGTACAATTATTTAAATCGTAAAACTGTTCAATAATATTTTATTAAAATACATTTAAACAGATAATCTCTGAATGGATCCGTTGTATCCACATTTAAATACAATTTGAAAAGAATTTTTTACGAGACTGTCAGTCAGTCGACCGGGTTTAATCGTCACTGTCGACAAAACTTATACGCGTATTCACAAACCCTATACTCGTCATTGTTGTCACTCTATGTGCGTGTATATAGTTCAATATGTCAAAATAACTCTAAATCGTCGAAATTGGCATTTGTATATACAGGGTGTATCAAAAGTCTTCATCCGATTACGATAACTGATGTAGTTCGGCAACGGTCATAGGCGCAAATTCAACAAAAAAACTGAGGGTGCTTAAGCTCTGCATTTTCTGGGCATTTATTAATTTGTAATTATGAGGCACTTATGGATTTTTTGAGCAAAAATGTTTTATGACAATTTAACGTTGAATAGTTATAGTGTATTAGGTACATTTTATAAAAATTAATACAATAGTCAATTTTAATTTATTAAAAATTGAAATCAACTTAATTATATTTTATTAAAAAAAAATATGACAAATAAATATTAGTATACAAAATGTAACAGACAGACTTGACGAAAAAGTAAATGACTCTAGTTAAACATATGACAGAAATTGTTAAAATATTGTGATAAGTAAATAATTTAAGAATTAATATACTCATGTCAGCAAATTCCAAAAAAAAATATTTTGAAAAAAGTTATTATAATAACTCACGTATAGGTTCCAAATGCATTTAATCAAAAAATATTGATATTTTAAAAATTCTAAAAAAAACTACTTGACTTAGATATATGTTTTTTCAAACAAAATTGTTCTTATAATCAGATTCACAAATTGGCTATTATGAATTTATCCAAAGAAATTTAAATCAAATTTTAAATTTTTATTTTCAATGTTAAAAAGGTGCTCTGCTGTACAGTAGGTTACAAGTGGGTCACTGTATAATGGATGGTATTAAATTTGAATTCAATGATATCTTATCATTGTATTAGAAAAACGATTCTGAGCGGAGACGGTATGTCAGTCTAGGTATAAGGCATATTATATTATACTTATCTATTTGATTAAAAAAAAATGACCTATAATAGGTACCTATAATAAATTCCAAATTAATCATATCACAATATCCATTAGGCACTTATAACGCGTTAAACATCAACAACAAACCCTGATACTATCATAGATATATAATAGAGTACTTTAGAAGTTTCAAGTACCCACGAATAATATTATAAAATCACAACAAAATAACTAAAATAGTTATTCTAGGTTTTTTTTATGTAATTTTGTCCAAAGTTGAACTTAAAATGACTATAAAAATAAACTGTGATTATTTATTTTTTTGGATTTTTTGGTAACAGAATAAACTACGTACGTGGAATCTTGTTATATATTTTCAATCCTTAGATATAAAAGTTAAACATTTTATACATTTTTAACTACAAAATAATTATTCAATTTTAAATTTGATACATTTTGTCAAAATTTGATCTTTAAATGCTTATAAAAAAAAATTGTGTCTATGTATTTTTAATATTTTTCAACTGATACTGTAACAATATATCAGGATCCTTGTATTAAATGTTTACATTTTTTGGCCAAACAGAAAAAACTTTATTGATATTTATAGAAAAAAAAAACTAAAAAAATTAAAAACTGTAATTGTCCGTAAACAGTTCAAAAAGAGTCAAAATATTTTAAAAACTGTAAGGTGTTTAGGAAATGCTAATATAAACATTCAGTGAAATTTTCATGTATCTACAGTCGTTCGTTTTTGAATTACAACAAAATAAGGAAATCGAGTGAATATCCAATATTGTAAAAATTTGATATTCGAACGCTCATAAAAATTTAATTTGACTTTCTTACAGACATTTTTTTTTTTTTTTTGATAAAAGTAGATAATCTTATAAGGAATCTTGTATTACATTTTAAAATCTTAGATTTAAAAAGAAAATTTTTTACGAATTCTTAACTCAAAATAATTTGCTAATTTTCGTGATTTTTCCATATTTTGTCAATTTTTGGGCTTTAAATGCTTGTGACTAAGAATTTTTAATATTTTTCATCTGCCTTTGAAACAATATACTAGGAGTCCTTTATTAAATTTTCAAGTTTCTAATTTTCATTTTTTTCCCCTCCCCCTGCAGGAATGCACGTCACTTACGACAAGAAAAACGCCGTCGGGTCCAGGGTGAAGTCTGCTACGATACGTTGCTCGGAATGTAAGTTGCCGTCGTACGAGCCGATCAATCCGGACAAAAAGTACACGTTGCTCATGTCCAAGTACGTGGCGAGCGGTGGCGATCGGTACGAAATGATCAAGGACGAATCCATTGGCACTAACTGTATGGGTGAGTGAACGTACCTGTGGATATAATGAGTAATTATCGAACACATCGAGACGACAATATTGGGTTTTAAAAAATGCCATGAAATATATTTTATCGAAATATTTCATTTGAGTGGCGAATTAAAATTTAAAAAAGCCGTACTTTATAATATTACCTAAACGATTATAGCCATAAGCGGGGATCGGATTTTATAGAATTTGCTAATTTATAGGATAAAGATAAGAATAGCAGAGTGAGCTATATCAATTTGGACTCCAAATATGCAATTTTATAATGTTTTTGAAATATTTTAGGTTTTCAGTGCTACTTTTAAAGTTTTGGTGCTATTTTTTTGCTAATATGCATAATATAACGTTTTATTTTGTATTTTCATAAAGCTAATTTATTATACATATTATATAGTATGAAAATTATAAAAATGTCATCATTTATTTTAATTTCTTTTTTTTTTGGAATATATATAAAAATTTTCGTTGAAATTAAAATCTATTTTTAAATAGTCCGGCAAATTGACCTATTGAACAGTAAGCAATTATGACTCCTTATCGGCTGTACGGCTCGTATCTTTATATTTTTGTCTAAAATCTATACCTATTTCAGTGTCAGTTAGTTCTTAAGTTCTAAGTATTTAGAGTAGAATAATTCAGAAACTGTGAGTTATCAAATTTTCAATCAAATTTTGATTACAATAAACCAATTAAAATTTCCAAGAAAATCATCTTTTCAAAATCTGCACTAAAACAACATGTAGGTTCTCGTTGGAAAAACTAATGTTGATTTATGAGGATACTGTCTCAGAGTTTTGTGAAAATTCTTAGTACCTACACTAAAATATCGGATTCAACTTAAGAAGTTTAATGTGCGATTGCAATTAAATTATAGTAAATCGTAAAATGTACATATTATTTTGAACGAAATTTGTACAGTGTTGTTCGGTTTATATGTTATTCGATCGGTAATATAATATAATCATTTTTTTTTCAGATACCACAGAAACAGACGCCTTTTTATCGTACGTCAAAGAAATCAAACCAATTTACGCTGGAATAGATAACAGGATCAAAATATTAAATCACTAATGAGCTATTGTAATCATGTAGGTATAGTCAATATTAATAATCGTTTCGACCTACCGTGTCAAGTTTTTTTTTTATTGTTCACAGTATATACATATACCTAAATCGAAATTTTTGTCGATGATAATAAAATTAATAATATTCAACATATTTTACTATACATATATATATGTCACAAAAATGATTTCGTTCCTATTTTTTTGTTTCCGTAATATTATAAAATCGGATGAAGTCTGGTCTAGGCGTTATTGACTTACTTAACACATTCGCACTGGACTTGTCTGTAGTTATTGATTATTACACGAGCACTGTCAATAAATCAAAGTTCCATCGGACAACGCAGTAGGTCTTTAATCTGTATAATCATTTGACATTACACCTACATTATAGGTACCATAACCAGAGGCGTCAATGCAAATAATTAACTCGGGTCGAGTTAAGTCGAGTGAACACGTCGTGATCGTTAAATTGGTAATAGTAATATATTATATAGTTGATAAATAATAATTTTAACTAGTTATTTTTAAAGTTAATATTGAAAAAAAACCAACTTAACTGAGTCTTGAAAAATTTGTGAGACATGCTATGGTCAATTGTTTTAATTTTCAGATAGTAACTTCTATGTGACATCACTAGAGATGTAAGCTTAAAGTTTTCAACTGACCATTATTTTTTTCATGGACATTTTCTGAAAATTTTCATTTTTTTTTTGGAAAATTTAATTTTTATTGTGTTATTCTTAACATAATTAATTGTTGAGGTTGTATGGTTGGTATGTTATCCGAATTTGTATTATTTAATTAGGAATTAAACAACTGTGAATATGAACTAAAATTAAAACAAAATAAATATACCTACCTACACGTTGAACAAAAGATATTTATCAATTATAAATAGTTGCGACGTTTTGTGGTCTTGTGTTAACATTAGGTACGATGTAATTTGTAATAACCTTTAACTATCCATAAAAAATATTTAGTGTATAAGATTGCGGAAATAACTCAAACAATAAATAACAAAAAAGGAACAATCAGTAGATGAAGGAAAACGTTTAAGCACTCGACATATTTTATACTGAAGTGAAAATACAAAATTGTAATAATAATAAAAATGTTCTTTTGTTAACGAGATAGATTGATTCGAACTTTCCTAATATTATTATAATATGTTTAATAGAAAAATATTAAAAAGGGGAAACCTAAAAGTACTTACACGGTTTTCAATAGAATTATGTAAGTTAAAATATAATATGATATGATAACTATATAATATCAAAGGATTAATTTGATAAGAAATCAACACGAGAAATTCGTGAAACGAAAATTTACATCACTATATGCTGCACTCACTGCAGGGGAGGCTCCATCCATTTCAACACTTGTGAGCACATATTTTATTCGCGTCTGAACTCGATTTCAATTTCTCGTCGTCGTACAAAATATTATAATAATAATAGTAATAATAATAATATATAAATATTGTATGGATTGATACAGGTTGCAACAGGTAGCCCTCCACGCGCCGCCGTCACAATGGAATATTATGATAATACATATTACTATCGTCCGCGTTTATTGTAACAATATAATATTATATTATTATTATTATTATATTATTATAGCATTTTCGTCGAGCTGAATCGATGCGTATCGCGAATATACGGGCCATGCATAATATAGTTTTTATCTCTCGCCCGTTTTTATGGTGTTCTACGTACATTTTATTATTATAATAAGACGGTCGTTCCCGAATCACTCGAATAGCGTTTTGGCCGAGAGACCGAAAATCCAAAACCCTTTAGGCCCTCAAAGCCCTCGGCAACCACGACACGATGTCATGCTACGATTTCGTTGAATAAACACAGGCACACTTGTCGCAGATGGTCGCGGTCCGCAGGTGGTCGCCCGCCGGTACATGAAACGATATCGGTACGACCGTTATTGTATCGAAAATCTACGACGTTTATTGTCGACAAGACGACTGCGAGTGTTTTGTGTATTTTGTAAGATAACGTTTGACATATTTTTTTAACAAAAATTTCGATGTTCAGAGTCTTTTGTAAGTAATTGTTTTGTATACGAGGAATGAAGGTTTGATTTTCGAAAAATATCTGTTTTTCTTGTACTCTTTTTTTTTTTTTGTAATAATTCTGGTAGAATTTACGCTCCAATCTTCAACTTCGATAGAGGTCACTGGTCACAAATCGGGTTTAGTTATTCAGAAGTCTCGTCCGTGTAAAAGTACATACGTTTGACTTGGGAAAGTCCCAGGGCTCCATTGGTGGAATTGGCCTGGTGAAGCCAATTATTTATTCATTTTTCACCAGGGAGACTTCGTAGGTATCTAATCATTTTTTTTTTCACTTTTTATGAGAAATCTGCATATTATCGTGTTGTTTTTTTTTTCAAACTTATTTGATAATTGCTTCCTATTTATGGATTTTTGGGAGATACAGCTTTTTACTTTAGTATACCAATATATATATTATAGGTACAACTATAAATAGTTAAATTTTAAAAATGCAGTAAGCACCTCCATTGTATTTAATTATGTTGCTATTTGTTTAAATGCACTCAGAGGTATATTAGGTGACACTAAAAACCAACAAAATTGATCCTTCTACCGATTGTAATATTATTATAATATAATACTGTATTTAATACCATTGTATTACAAAGGCGTACATACTATTGGTTTTTGTTAAATATTATTATTGATTTTTATTTTCAAAATGTTTGATGAAATAAAATATGTTTCTCGAGGGCCACGTCTCTGAGACCACTTTTCTACGATGTAACACACAGTTTTATGGACATTTGTATCAAATAGGTAGTATAATTATTGAAGCGTATTTACATTTATCACCAAGGCTAGGCAAGTTAATACATTTTTTTTAACTCAGTAAAATTAAGTTAATATGCACCAATAACAAAAAGTTCAAAGTTAAAAGTTAATACACACTTTTTGCTAACTTTTTATTAAGTTAAAAAAAGTTAATTTGTGTACACAAAGCTGGCGTACTTAATTTTTTTCCAACCCAAAACTGAATTATAGACTACAGTGTTTATACTTCATACAGTACTTCCATGTGAGTTAAATTCGAATGATTTAAATTTTTAACTTTAAACAATACACTGTAAATATTTGTTGACATGAAAAATTGAAAACGAAATAAATCAACTTAAATTAGGTAATCCTTAGAATAAAAAACGAATTCCTTAATTTCACGTTAGTTCAAAAATAAATGTAGCAAGTTATCAGTTAAATTAACGAAAAGCCAAAAGTAACTAGGTAAGTTAAAAAGTGAAAATTAAATTAACTTTTTAACTTAACTTTAACCTTTCTACTCGTTAATAATGCCCAGCCTTGCTCTTCACCTCTTCGTTTCGGCCGAATAAACGAGACGCGTAATTTTCCACCTGTTCAACGTAGGTAGGAATATCGTCGTATAATATACGAAATAAATTTTCAAAAATCGCCTTTGCCGCCTTTCTATTTCGGATGACCGTCGTCACCAGCACCCACATCCACCCCACTCGCAGTCCGTATAATATTACAGTACGTATACGGTCAAACGGGTCGACGACGGATTTCGGCGACATAGATCGAAGGCATATTTTACGATAATATATATTATTATTATTATTACGTCTGCGTTCCATATTATTATTATTATTTCGTATCCGTCGTCGACCCGTCAGCGTCGGGCTCGGGTGACGCAGTCTTTTCCGCGTCAACGGTGCACATGTGCTGCACACAATCGTCACTGCTATTGCTCCTGCTGCTCGACGACAACAACAACAGAGATCCGCAGGTTGCTACCGGCTACGACTGCAGTATTTGGGCACACGCTCTCATATCGGATTTATATTTATTATTATATTATTTTATCGCCCCGAGATCGGTGCATACTCGCCGGGGACGACGACGACGTGTCTCGGATTTTCGTGCACAGGTGTCCTTATGTGTG